TCAGGAAAACACTGTTAAGACATACCTAGCACAGTACTCAAAATGAAGCTCTAAGCCTCATAATAATAATCAATAAAAAAGTAAACATGTTATATTTTTAAACAGTATAAACCTGTTATATTATCAGGCCTGAAACTAAGAGTCAAGGAACAAGAAAAGAAACCTAAACAAGAGTCCAAAGCATAGAATGATGCTACACTGCATGGAAACCACTATCAGCTGGCTGCTATCCACGTATTCACATGTTCATTACCTGTGGCCGCTGCTTGTGCTGTGTCTGGTTTTGGTTTTGAGGTTGTTCCCAGTTTCCCCGGGCTCGGTTAGTGCCCACCGACGTCATCATTTACAGTATATACAAATAACAGTATTTACAAGGAAGAATACTAAAGAGGAAAAAAAGAAATGGTTAAACGTAGGTAAAATGTTTTTAGTCTTTTTAATCAGAACTTTACCACCACTTTACTTTTCTCAAAGGAACAAACCAAGGAAATTCACCCTTTTTTTTTTAACCATTCTTTTCTCTCTAGTGGTGCTGGAGATCAAACTTCAGCCTTTTTTTATATGCTAGGCAAGCTCTCTACCACTGAGCTACATTTTCAACTCAAGATTCACCTTCTTGAGAATCTTCTTGAGTTTATACTGGCCTCAAACACAATGTAGCAAAGCTGACCTTGAAAATCTAATCTTTCCTCTACTTCCCAAGTGCTGTTAACTACAGGTGTGTGCCACTGAGACACTTTATATTGTTGTTTAAACATGGCTGTTAATCCATTTTTATTCATGTGCCTCAGTGATAAAACATACGCTTTGTATACATAAGGTCCTAGGCTAGATCAACAAGCCCTGCATCCAAAAATGTATATAAAGTATGTGTGATGTTTGAAGACACTCTCGTTATGTAGCCTTGGCTGGCCTCAAACTCAAGGCAATCCTCCTGCCTCTGCCTTCTAAGTGCTGGCCTATGTGACTATTTTTAAAAAGATGTTAAGAACATAATAATTTGGTTACTGCTATCTTGCAAATAAGCAAAAACATCAACATTAAAAAACTTTCCATACATGTAAAGTATCTGAAGTGTCTTTGACAAAAAAGATAATTAACAAACCCTAGAAAATAAATGCCTTCCAGGAGTTGGGCACAGCACATACCTGTAATCCCAGCACTTGGAAAGCTGACCAGAGAGGATTGCAAATTTGAGGCCAGCCTGGGCAACACAGCAAGATCCTGTCACAAAAGACAGACAGACATGAAAGAAGGAAGGGAGGAAGGAAGGGGGAGAGGGAAGGTAGAGAGGAAAGAAGGAAGAGGGGGAAGCCTTCTAGGTTAATCTATAAATCAAAGAAATTACAATTTAAAATATTTTAGGAGCTGTGAGCATGGCTCAGTTAAGGGCCTAGGGTCATAACCATAACAGTGGGATAGAAGAAAAACAATATAGCCAGCACACATTTGAAACAGTCAAAGCCTTACCTACCCTGCAACTGTTTGACATAAGTGGTGTGTAACTTCTACTACTTGGGAAAAGCCAAGTTCATAACTAGCCTTTCTTTCCAGTTCTAACTCTACTAAGGCATGTTAGTCCTAGTGACTATCCAGAATCCATTTCCTAGAAAATTCCAACACACTGTCTTTGCAGCTTCATCAGCTGGCCTCATACACACTTTCAAGTAAACCGAACAGCGATTAGGCTCCACCACTCACCTTAATACAAAGGGAATCCCAAAACTGCCCCCCATCAAATGCACCTATCACCAAGTTTTATTTGGAAGGGCTTCTAGAAAATGACTTTAAATTCGAGACATTGTTTGCAGGATGATTTCACTCTTTAAAGAAACAGAAAACACAAGAACCTTCCCCAAACTAGAACACAGTTTCTTTTCTGTCCTTTCTACCAAGTAAGTGTTCTACTAAATTTAAGTTTCCTTTCTTCATACTGTTTTATAAAGTAATCTCAGCTGCTGCTTTGAGTAAACAAAGAAAACATTCATCATTATGATAGAGTGCTCAAAATCGGGTTACTTTTCATTGTTTTATTCCTTTCAAAAGAAGACAAATTTACACTTTCCTGCTCTACTTTTTTTTTTTTTCACTAACAAAACACTATACAGGGTAATTCTAGACTGCCCAGAAGACACTGGATTTTGAAGTTATGAAAGTTCTATAGAAATATGCAAGGATTAACTATTAGGAATGTGAACTTCTCCTATTTCTTGAGTAACACAGAGAAAGCAGACTTTCCTGTGGATAAATCCTTCAAGTTTTGTTAATAGGTTGCACAGGTCTTTGTTTTTTGATGTAGTCACCAAGAACAAAGACTTCTACTACATTCCTTATCACCAATAAAGGGCTTTTTAGTTATGTTTTAAAATTAGCTGTAGGATAATCAATCCCAACCTACTCCTGAATAATCTACTCCATGTATAATAACAAATTTTGAGAATTGTACCAAAAACATAAGCTGTAAGACTAGCTATATAAATCACTGCACATTATCTTACAAGTTAGATGTAAATATATTACAAAGTCATGCTGAAAGATACATAACTAACCAGGAAAAAAAAATCCATTTTATCACTCGTGCTTTTAATTCCATTCCCCTGTTTGGTAATACTTTGAAATGTGAAATTAAGAATATTTTAACTCCTAATTAGTAACAATGAGCAACAGGTCAAAAGTAAATAATCTGGGCAAACCATGTAAGGGCACAGAATTAATAGCTTTTTAATAGCAAACAAAGACAAATACCCAGAGTTATTCAGTGGGAGTGAGTGACCATGTTTGTTAACTCTTAAAAAAATTATACTTAAGGGAAGTAGGATGAGAAAGAAGTATTGGAAACCAAGAGACCGCTACAGGAACAAGTAAAGGTTTCAACAAGAAGTGCTCTTGACTACATTTTGAAACCCAGCTACTTAAAAAAAAAAAAAAAAATAGCCAGAGAAATTTTACTGAAAAAAATAAATAATAAATATTTATTGAGTATCTACTACGTGTCCAATACTTCAGTAAATACAAAAGCATTGTGACTTAGTTGCTGCTCTCAGGGAGCTTACAATCTAATTTGAGAAACAATTCAGACATTCTAAAGTTGGACTGGGATGGGTTAGGCTTACCAACTCTTACAGAGAAACTGATCCCTAGATGCTTAGCAGTGTCCCAAAGACCTGTGTCCCATTCCCCAACCACCTTCATTCTAATAAGGAGCCTTCCCAGTTAGAAACATTATGGGGTAGGGAGCAGTACATTTCGCCCTTCACTATTTTACACACAGCAGTATCTCCCATTCACAACAGAAACATTCATTGGAGTAATCTAATAATTAAAGACAATAGTGTAGGACCACAACACAGTTTTATCAACAAATACACATCCAAAATGTTTTAATCTCTAGTAATGCTGGTTATCAAACAGACCCACAGCCCCCTCCCAGCAAGTCACATCGGATATCCCCAACGCAGAATATGGGAGGTGGAGACAAAAAAGAATTTCTCCATTTAATAATCACAGTGAGTCAAAGGCAAAAAGAAAAAAAAAACACGTTAACAACAAAATCGCCTTTTACTGTGTTTTTCTTTCTACAATAACCTACACCAGAGGTAACTAAATGTTAAGAATCGTGGAAAAACAGTCTCTTGTTTGTGACATCACTTTGCACAGCAATTTAGGGACTATCCACCAGGTAAGGGTCTCAAGAAATTTGGAATTCCATTCCCATTATGAGAAAAATGAACAAATGCCCAGTGATCTAGTGACGTCCCTTACGCGTAATACAACCCATGGGGGCCTCCATGTCCAGCTTCCCAAATAATATAATGTCTTGGGTACCCAAAACTACAGTATAGACAACAGGAAGCTAAAGACAGCAGCAAAAATATACTCCACAATCAGGGTCGGTAAGAAAGAAGGCAGGATAATAAGAGGAGCTGACAAAGAGGCTGGAAACGAACAGAGGACAGAAGCCCACGCGCGGAGGATGGGAGACTCACCCCCCTCCGCGCCACATCAAGAGCCCATGGGGCCATTCGCCTCTCTACCTCCCACCCGGAACAAATTAATCCTCCGCACTCCAAACTGAGGGCCACATGGGGGAGTTTAGGGCAGCTCCACCCCATCGCCACCCCCTTCGCCCCCAGACCAGGCCGGATCCTGATCAGAGGCCCATAGAGGACTGGGAAGGGAGGAGGCCTTCTCCGTAGACATTGGCCCTAGTAGAGAACCCTACCTCAGGCTGGGCCCGGGCCTCGCTCGCCCGCGCTCT